CAATCGGCTATTGCTGTGAACATGAACCAAGGTCGGCAAAATGCAAACATGACCGACTGACTGACATGTCCAAAAAGTTGGCCTTTCTGTGCATCGATTCATCCTCACCAAGACTGTTGGTCAACAACTGCAACAAGCTGCCATGCAACAGAGCTGCCACGACTTTTTGCCATTCCAAGACCAAAGGTTCCAGTTTCATCCGTGAAGATCTGCCTGCGGAAGGATGAAGGAAGCATGTCTGTTCTCTGGGATGTCATTTTGACAGTCATCAACCGGTCGACTCATGTTGGCTCCCTGACCTACCATGTCCGCCGAGCCCTTCGGGAAAAGTCGCCAGAGAATGCCAGAGAATCGAATTTGGTGCCACGCCTGCGAGGTCCGTTGGATCCTTACGTAAACTGCTCAGCGCTGACTTCTACGGGTCCCTCGTGGATCTTGGCCTCCAACTCCTCTGGCGAATTGCTGAGTGCTTTCTTCCCAAGGTCAGCGTCAGAAGTGCTGAAATGTTTGGCATTCAACTTGGCATTGAAACATGATTCAAAAAACAAATCAAACAGTCTCTGAGCAACAGCTAACCTTAAAGCTAAACCTTGCACTGCGTCTCCTGCTGCAGCCTCAATGCTAGCATCTCTTGTGAATCCGGCCGCCGCAGCTGCAGCACCAGCAGCACGAAGGGCACCGCCAGCGCCAGCCGCGCCAGGGCCATGTGGTGCCGGAAGCCGACAGCTGCCAGGGCCAGGCCTCGGAAAATGCAATGGGATTAGATTCTGGTCCCCAACAAAAACGCAGACAATTAACTAACAAATCATCATCCAGCTCGTCGGCTTGAGGCTTTTAAAAGAGTCCCAGAAAATCTTTCGTTTGCAAGACAGGTTGTGAAATAGAAAACTGTAGGATAATTTGGACAGGTCGGAGATCGTTAGTGAGTTGTGGGAACATCTGAGATCATCTGAGAAGGGCTTTGACAGTGAATCATAGGGGAGGGGATTTAGGGACAATAGCCTGGCTGTGGAATTACCTGGGTGTGGTGGCTCAGCTCCTGGATCGAAGTCAAGACTGGGACAGGGTCGAGAAAAGTGACCTCGAGCCTGCATGCACTATTTCCATGTCGAGAGTGCGACATTTGACAAACAGACTCTGGCACCCGCCCTTGCCACGGAATGTTCAGAGGTCAGAACGGGAGGTCCAGAACCCAATCACCTCCCGCACGGCCAGGCACACGCGAAGCAGGAGCTCTGCAGGACGTTCATCTGCGACTGAGCAAAGGGCTGCGCAAGGCCAATGACCAGCGCCATGCCCAAGGTGATGGCCACGCAGAGCCACAGGTTGTCCACAGCCACCACCTGAGGTGTCCAACGGAATGCTATGGATGCAAACATTGATGTCTTCGAACAATGATGTGGAGAAAGATCGGGAAAGAATTAGATTCACTATTCAGCTGGAATGCTCGTCCAGGAGTCGGCACATGGGAGTTCTATCGATGCCCCACGCCGAAACTCTACAAGGCACCGAGACCAAGGCTGCTGCAGCCACCTTGGTGCAAACCTCCATCCAGACGTTTTCGCATTTGGCCTCCGGGACGCTTCTCCGGGGGTGGAGTGGGGGACTTGTCGGCTTTCGGAAAGGACCCAAACAGGTTTCAGGCAAAGCCCTGCTTATTGTATCTTATTGTTCCATTGACACATGTCCAACTCTTTTGCATGTCCCAAGCGGCCACCCGAAAAGGAACCACTGAAATGCAGCGGAGTGGCATATTTGCAAAACAGTTGTTTAGCACCCTGCATGACACCTCAGACGACGAAGCACCTATGACCTACAGTATGAAATGATAATCACTCCACTACCAATCACACTGAAGAGTTGCATTTTAGTCTGTTCAGCCGAACTCATGAAAGGCGGGGCTCGATGCGACCGGCGTAAAAGGACCTCCATCCGTCCAAGGAATCGTTGACGAAACATAAACCAACATGCTCTGGAAAACAACCAACAACATGGGTATGTCCCAAAACAGGGTGCTCCATGGCTCTCCAGTGTTTATTTGAAGGGTATAGAACAAGGAGGTTCCACATCCGAGTCACGATCCGTTTCCTCCTCCAAAATGCTTCGTTCCATCAGCATCTGCGCCATCATGTGCCGTTGCAACACCTCCGCCTCCTTCAAGTCGCCAAAGACCAGACTCTCTACCTAATAACGGAGTGAACATCAGCGAACTTTGGGCGAGCCAACAAGTTCGATTCAAACGAACAGGGTACCCCGGTGTGAAATATCTGGGACCTGGAAAGGCCTGAGTTTGGTTCAACGGGATGTCCTTGAAAGCACGAAGCAGGCTCATAGCATTGTTCAATCAAAAGATTGCAAAGCAAAAACACACTTCTGCAGCCTCCAAGCACGATACTTCCTGTTGATACTCATCATCTAAGAACACCTATTCTTTTCCACCCTAGATGCCCATGAGGCTTCAGAAACTCCAGCAGTGCTTTCCACGATGGGAGTTAAAATCCTTGGGACAGGAATGGAATGGTTGACTAAGCTGTCTGAGAAACCAATCAAAAAAGACCTGACGGGCTGCTTTTTGCGCTCCAATCCACTGCGAATGTCGGACTGAAACTTGTTTTGCATCTTTGCTGGAAGCTCAGACTGTTGCGTCAAACTGAAGAGAGGACAGGAAAAGAGAACAAGATGCAGCCCACGAACCCGAATGCTCACACGTATGTTAATGGTACAGATGTCGAAACACATGGATATGCAGTCACGCAGAGCACTTTTCTGCAATACTTTATTTGAACAGTCTTGTACATATTTCCCCTGTTACCAGTCTGCAGTGTGGAGTGGAAAGTGTAGCGTGTGGAGTGTGGAGTGTAAAGTGTAGAGTGTGGAGTGTAAAGTAAGGAGTGTGGAGTGGGGAGTGTAGAGTGTGTAAAGTGTAGTGTGGGGAGTGTGAAGTGTGGAGTGGGGACTGTAGAGTGTAAAGTGTAGAGTGTGGAGTGTAGAGTGTAGAGTGTAAAGTGTAGAGTGTGGAGTGTGGAGTGTAAAGTGTAGAGTGTGGAGTGTGGAGTGTGGAGTGTAAAGTGTGGAGTGTAGAGTGTGAAGTGTGGAGTGTGGAGTGAAGAGTGGAAAGTGTAGAGTGTGGAGTGTGGAGTGTGGAGTGGAAAGTGTGGAGTGTGGAGTGTGAAGTGTAAAGTGAGGAGTGTGGAGTGTGGAGTGTAAAGTGTGGAGTTTGTCAAGTGTAGAGTGGGGAGTGTGGAGTGTAGAGTGTAAAGTGTAGAGTGTAAAGTGTGGAGTGTGGAGTGTGGAGTGTAAAGTGTTGAGTGTGGAGTGAGGAGTCTGGTGTGTGTGTGTGTACCATCTGAACAGATGTAAAACTTCTGATTGGTTTTCACTAATTTGCAGGGGGGTGCAGAGCACAGTGGAGACTGCACCCAACGAAGCTATCCACTTGTGCTGGAAGCAGAGTCTGATCAACTCTGTGTACCTGCAAAATTTGGTTTCAACTGTTGATCAAGCTGTTACACTGCGTTGTTTCGAATCTACACGGTTGCCACAATCTGTATTGCATGCATCAGAACCTTCCTCAGATTTTCGCCGAAACCATATCGCCGACAGTATTATGTTTTTTGACTTATTTTCGCCGAGACCCTGTCGCCGACGAACTATGGGTTATTTTGGGAAACAATCGCCGAAACATTATTTTGGATTTCCACATGCTGGTCAAAACTCTATGGAATCTGGTTATGACTACGTTTGATAATTTCGGATGCCCTACATCGTTTGCGAGAAGTACCTCATGGGGCTCTTTTATTCATCTAATAATCTAGGCTGGTTTGCATGTTTCAGGATTCAGTTCCTGCCGGATCATATAATGATCCATTCTTGTCTAGTGTGATTTCCATGGTGGCTCCGACATGGTGCCATGGAGCCATTGGAGGCAACCCTCTTCAGGGTGAGTGTTGACAGACTTGAATTCTGAATTTACACTTTTCAACTCAGTAATTCATTTAAGTAAAGTGCAACAGCCAGCCTTTCGGTTATTCGCCTTTTGTGATGTCCCGCCGCTCCTATTGTCCCAGGGACCCCAGTGCTGCGTTCTTTCAAGGGAAGCCATTCCGAATGTTCTGAAACCTCCGTTTTTTGCAGCTGCTTTGCAACACCGTTGCATCAAATCATGACAGAGAAATCAGGCAGGCACACGACTTTCAGGTGTGGTGATCCTTTCTTTTGATGGTTGTCTGGTGAGGTGAAACATATTGTGCACCTAATTCGTTGGAACTTGAAAGCTGTTTTATGCCATTGCGGCACGACTTGACCACGGTCCCGGTGCAGGGAATAATTGCACGATTTTGTAGGTAGTTAGGGACTGAATCCTGTATGTGAAACTTTTTACAATTGTCCACTTTTGTTTTGACCTACTGAAGCGATGCATCCGTGGAACACTCCAACATCATGGCCTGCTCCACCACAGCCTTCGAACCCATCTTCGACGTGGCCGCAATCGACACCGAGTGCACATTTATTTGGACATCCCTCGGCTTTGCATCCTACATGGTCATCCTCCGCTTCGCTCATGCCGTCTACATCCGCCCCAACATCGTTGCCGTTCACCTCATTGACTTCGGCTCCTCATGCAGTACCAGGTCCACAACTTGTACCCACCATGCCTTCACCTTTGGCTCCTGAACCAACTATGGTACACACCGCTCCGTCGACTTTTCCATCTCCTATGGCACCTACCGCTCCACCCGCGTGGCCTTCCACTTCGGCTCCACCCCCTACATCGACTACACCACCTACATCGACTATGACACCGACTCCTTTGCCCAGTTCTCCATACCCACCTCACCACATTCAACCTCCATTACAGATGGACGCATCGACGATCCCTCCAAATGAGCCTTCACCACGGCCCCCAGCAGTCAAAGCAGCTCCCAGGCATCGCTCTGACAAAAGACCGGATCGACCGCGCAGACCAGCTCCGAAAACCCCTCCTCACGCTACACCATCGACACCTCAGACAGCACCGACTTCATCCGTTCCACCTGAACTTGCATCCCTGGGTTCCACCGCACAACAACTGGCCGAATCTGTTCGACTTATCCAAGCTCAGCAACTATTACTCATGGATTCTCAACGGGCACAAGAACAACGTCAACTCCTTCTTCAACAAGATGAACATCCACCGAATCCTACACCACAGATACCGCCACCTACACCTACACCACCACTGATCGCCACGCCTCCACCTGCACCAAAGGCCAGACCCACCGAACCGGACGTTCAGGACCATCGCATTGTCCCAGCTCCAACCATCGCTCCTCCTCACCAACCACACGGTCCACCACCACCAACACGCCGACCACGATCCCGAACTCCAAGATCACGTTCCCATCGACCTTCTGTACATTCCTATCGCCTTCGCCATTCTCCTCCACGTACAGAGCGACCTCGTTCTCCTCTCCCTCGTCATCGATCATCTACGAAACCCGACAAGAGCCGCAGAACACCATCTCCATACAGACGACGCTCACCACCACGACGCCGCTCTCCTGTGGTCCCTCGATGTCACCGCTCCCATCCACGCCCACGCTCCGCGACACCACGTCACCGATCCCGAGGCCGTGAAGTCATACTTCGACCTGCTGCAAACCCATCCAATCCGAACTACATTCCTACTCCTGATGCTGATGACACCTGGGGTACATGGAACGAAAGCCACTACAACGACGCCTACGACCACCACACTGCTCGACCCAATTCTCCTACTGATCCACCACCATCGGAACCACAAACCAACCCACCAACCCACACTTCAGCACCACTCGGCGCGGTGTCCTTCCGAGTTCCGGACGGCGACAGTGAAAATTCTGAGCTTGCTGATACCATTTCGCTCACCAAGTTTGACACGAATGACATCGACCTCGATGAAATGGTGGCGGCGGCCAATGACCCCCATAGAGTTCGATGCCTGACCGAGCTTGGCCCCGATCATGTTGTTCCTCTACGCCAATCATTGACCCCGGCTATCTTGCAGCTCTTCAACCAGTTTGTGGACGCGATGTTCGAACAGTTGGCTAAACCATACCGCACCGTCAACAACCATCGTATTTGGATCAAAGCCAGCCAAGCCACCGTCAGGAATATTGCCAGGGCCTTTGCACAATCCGACTTACTGGACATCGAACTTGCAAAGCAAACACAAGCCTTCTATATTGAACCAGAGAACTTGCTGACCATCACGGTTCCCACAGGATTGAAGAAGAAACCAATCTACCGTGGCGAACACATGGGCACCTACCTGATCTACCACAAGACAAGTTGGGAATCAGTTGCCAAAATTCTTGCTGAAGACTGCATCCGCCCGGCAACTTGGACAAAAAACGAAGCCGGTATACCGACCCAATACCCGTGTTACGGGTTCTTCGGAATGTCCTCTGAGATCGCAGACACCGACAACCTACCCGGCTATGCTGTCAGGATTTGTACCTCTCAGCTTTACAAAATAGGCAAAGGACAAAACCCATCAGGCCTGCTGGCCATATGCCGCTCACCCAAATGCATCCGTGCCCTAGCTGGAGGAAATGACCAAATCCAACGCTTGTGCAACCTTGCGGGCATCGCCAAGGGCAAAGACAATGCAACGGCTATGAACTCAAGCGCTGCATCTATATGCTACGTCGCCTCCACTCACCAGGTTTTCCCGGGCTTGATCACACACCAGACTGCGGAGACCAATGCACCTTCGGAACCTCCTGATGATTCTGCACGTCCAGTACGACCTGACCCTTCTGCCGACGCCCCAGAACCTTCGGAGCCGGCCCCGGACGACTCTCACAATACACCGAGCCGCCGCGAGACTGCTACCTCTGGCTCCCGGGACTATGCTCGCCGATCTTGGCATGACAATGCTGCTTGGGACAATTCCACCTACAGCCGCCGAGATCGCCGATCCTCATATTATGACGACCATTCTCGCGACCAGCACCATGAAGGCCGACCTCGTTCTCGACATTCGACCCACCACTCCAAATCTCGTTGGTGAATTCTTTACCCTTGAGGAGTACCAGAACAAGTATCGACTATTCTACGTCGGCGATCCAGTGAGCCTAGTGGCCCTGCCCGATTATTTTGGAGTAACAATGCTTCTCCCGACATTCGGTACTGCTGCCACTTCTTCCTCAAAAGGTTTGTGACTCGCTGCGTGCTCATATTGTGGATCCTTGCGCAAGATTCGTTTTCACCTTATGTTTCACACACTGGAACCTCGTATTATGTTTCACTTTTTCACTCGCACACTATCCTTGTCTCACCCTGACATTTCTCGCAGCTTTCATTCGGCAGTTCGAGCGCATTTTGACCTATTGTCTCGTGACCCTCTCTACCTCATGGCGTCCCAGGACCTGATCTCCCAATACAGCGCGGATATGAATGGAATTCCTCCTTCCCAGCCGGATCGCTCGCGCACACCACCTCGTCATCCACATGGTTGGCACCAAGCAGTACCGGCGT